TTTTTTTTCTCAATCTGTGAGATTTATTTTTTTCCTATTGGAGGAGGTTTTTGATGCATATTGGGATTTTGATTTTTAGTAGGTCCTATTTGTCTGTTTTCCCCTCTCCTCTTTTGCCCCTTTGGACATGTTGGCAAGCCTTTTCATGCCATACACTGTTGTTGCTAGAAGCTGTCTCATTGACGATGATGATTCATAGGATACTTTGAACAATGGATTTGAGCCTTTCCCTATCCTGTGCCATCCTCATCACCACTAATATAGTTGTTTAAGTCCATTTACAGTCACTGTGTCAGCCAATCTTGTTGATGATCTTCCTCATGTTTGCTGACTCTCCACATTTTTGAGAATGGTTGGTTTCCTTTACTAAGGAATAGCCTCTTCTTACAATTTGTTCAAAATATGTCAGACAAAACTTCACCTCCCTTGCCTCTAGAAAGCTCTCTGGATGTATTTTCTCCAAGACATGTTGTTTGTTCTTTTACCAGCTCATCAGATAATCAATACTTTTTCTCAACACTAAAGCTCAAAAGTCATTGATTCTTCTGTTGCCATCTTTAATCATTGTCCAACTTTCAGATGCACAATAAGTGATTGAAAAGGCCATAGCTTGAATTAGATGCACCTTTGTCTTTAAACTGATGAGTGCTCTTAACACTTCAGAGAGTTCCTTGACAGCTGATTTTCACAACACAACACAACACAACACATATTTGATTTCTTAACTGTTGGTACCAAGGGAGTTGATTGTGTATCCAAGCAAAATGAAGTTGTTGATAACGTTGATCTTCTCTCCATTTATCATGATGTTGCCTATTGGCCTAGCAGTAAGGAGCAGGGGTGGCATTCACTTCCTAAATAACATGTCTCTGGAAACGCTATGAACTTTGATAAACGTTGATAGCTGCAGAGGGGCTTCAGGCCTTTTGTTTATAGGTTTGTTATGAGTCATACTGGACTCGAAGGGAATCAACGACAACAACCACAACAACAATGTTGAAGGCTGTAGTCTTTGATCTGAAGCAAGCATTTAATGTTCTCTTTTAGCAAACAAAGTTTTATCATTTGCATAACACAGGTTATTGATGAGTCTTCTAAATTTGTTCCTATCTTTTTTCTCTACGATCTTCATGGGTTTTGGTTTTACTTTGAGGTCTCTGAGCCACTTGGAGTTGGGTGTTGTGTGTTTTTGTGTGTGTGTGTGTGTGTGTGTGTGTGTGTATTAAGTAAGAGGTAGCTCTTGTTTCAATTTTCTACAGATGTTTAGTATTACTGACATTTTTTGTTAAATAGAGTGCTGTAGTCCCATTTAATGGGTTTAATTTCATTGAGAAATAACAATTGACTGTAGGTAGATGGTGTGATTTCTGGGTTCTCACTTCTGTTCCATTGTTGTACATGCCTGTCATTGTACCAGTACCATGTTCTTTTGATCATTATAGCTGTGTACTGGATTTTGAGATCAGGAAGTATGATGCCTTCTACTTTTTTATTTTTCAGAAGAGCTATGGTTATTTGGGGTCTCCTTCCAAAAGAAACTGGAAATTGCCTTTTCTATGATTTTTTTAAAGCCTTTTTGGTTTGTAGAGAGGACCTTGAACTTTCTTATTACCCATGATCTTATATGTGCTGATTACTGAGTATTTCCTCTTTTAGAACATTGGTGTAGAATATGCAGCATTTGTTTAAGGAGGTTACAGTCAAACAGAATGTCTGTGTGTGTGTGTTTATGTAGACCATTATAAGGGGATAATAGATATGAAAGGTTCACATAGTGCAAAATGTTGTGTGAACACAGCTTTCAAAATTTTTGAAAGAACTATTGTAGGAGCTGAATTCTGTATAGGAGAGAACAACTGGACCAAAACAAAAATACCAACTTTGGGATTATTCTAAGCAGAAATACAATGTATGGCAATCGTGATGTTAAAATGCTTTGCAGAGAATTGTATTAAAAAGTAGAAAATTGTAGTACTATCGAGGTTTCTTAGTTCTTTCCATGACCAACTCGAACTCTGTCATCTAAAGGCAGAGATCTAAAAGGAAAATCTGAGCTAATATTTCTAGTTGATATGGATAAGAATATTTTTTGTTAGGGAATAAGCCTTTCATTATTTTTATGAAATAATCATACATTTATAAAAATTTCTAAATGGGTTATTGGAGAGTTTTGATGACTTAGTACATAGTATGTTGTGCTGTTAACCCAAAAGCTGCACATCAGATGGTTTGAATTCATTAGCTGCTCTGTGGGAGAAAGATAAGAAGTCTCTTCCTGACACGATAACGTTTACAATCTTAGAAACCTGGTGGAGGATTGCTGGGAGTTTGAATTGATTCTATGGCAGTGAAGTTGAGAAATTACCCCCTCCCTTTTCTTGCATTAAGCCATGTTGTTGTTGATGATGAGTAGCGTTGAGTCAGAACCAACCAATAGTTGACCCTCCAGTGTGTTTTCAGAGGGAGTTTAATCACACAAGAGGAGATTGCACATCTTTCTCCTGTGGAGCAGCTGGTGGATTTGAGCCACATGCCCTTGGGATTGCAATTTAGCCCCTTAATCATAGGCCACCAGAGCTCTCTAAATAAGCTATGTTGTTGTTTTTGTTGATTGCTGTCAAATAGAGGTCGACTCATAGTGACTCTATGAACAAAAGACCTAATGCATTTCCATAGCTATCATCGTTTCTCCAAGTTCGTGGTTTCTAGAGGCATGTGGTTTTGGAAGTGGATACCACTCCTGCTTCCCATCCTGTTTTACAACTGGGAGATCCATCAAACACTGTCCACAATGGGAAACCATTCTGGTATTTGATACCCCAATGGCACAAGGTTCAGCATCATAGCAAACCCAGATTACCTCACATAGCACATTGACAAAGAGTGATGTGCAAAGTGGAAGAATATTCCTCCAGATATAACAACACTAGTCTCATTTAGCAGTGGGTAAGTGTTGTCAAGTTGAATATGATTCAGAGGAAGCTTTGCACAAAAGACCTGAACTCTGTTCTATGACTAACATCACTTCTATACATTTATAAGAGTTTCTAGAATTTTCAGAGGCATCTAGTTTAGGAAGTAGATGCCACTCCTGCATCCCAACATGAATTAATTTGGAAGCTCACGCAACCACTGTACACAATGGGTAACTATTATGGTATTTGACATGACTATGGGTTAGTGTTCAGCATCACAGCAACTCCAAGTTGTTTAGTACAGCAAATAGACAAATGATTGTTGTGTCTTAAAGAATAGTCTTCTAAAATGAATAAATATTAAATCCACACCCTCAAGCTATAAATAAAGCTATGGTGACAATTATTCATAAAGACAAAAGTCTTACAGCTTTTCCCCCACTGATATAATTCCTTTGAATTTAAATAATATTTCCTAAAAAGATAGCAATATGTTATTTCATATTTCACATTTCTCTCTTTCTTTGTGTATGTAGGTGTGAAATATCTTTGAAGAACTAGAGCAATATTTTGCATCTAATGTCAACTAATTCTGGTTGCAAATTTGAACTTTAATATAAGCTCTATCATAATTATAAAATATAAATGTAACCATAACTTAACTATGTTTTTGATATTTAGATTTTTTCCTTTTTAATGTAGGTGATACTGTAGTATATCAATATGGAATAGCTACAGTGATAATTGAAGCCAATGATGATCCAAATGGCATTTTTTCTCTTGAGCCAATAGACAAAGCAGTAGAAGAAGGAAAAACTAAAGCATTTTGGTAAGTATGTATGAGCTATTTAAAATTGGACAAAATAAAGTTAAAATTTTTCATTAAGATATGAAATATTTTGAACCTTTCAACATGAAAAATTTAGCCAATAATGAATTAATCTAAAAACCAGAAGTCTAAGTGAACCATGTTGTGGTTGTTATGTGCCATCAAGTCATCTGTGACCCCTATCGACCCTTTTCAGAGGTAGTTCTGAACCCTTCCCTGTCCTGAGCCAGTCTCACGAATTTCAACACACCAACCCACATTGCCCAGGTACTGTATCAATCCATCTTCTCTGGAGTCTTCCTCTCCTGTGTTGTCCCTTTACCCTTCCAAGTGTGATGTCCTTCTCCAAGGACCAGTCTCTCCTGGCCACGTTTCCAAAGTATATGAGAAGGAGCTTCAAAATCCTATCCTTCAGGGAAGCCTAAATGCACCCTATCCTTTGTTTATGCTATGGCCACTGTGTGCTTTTGAGTCAGACTTGACCCGTAAGTGACCCTCCAGCAGGTTTTCAGAGGCAGTAAATTGCACCAGAGGAGACTGCCCATCCTCCTGTGGAGCATCTGGTCAATTGAAACCACTTGCCTTTTTGATTGCAGCTCGTCTTCTTACCACTTGGCCTTCAGCACTCGCTTTGATGAATAAGCAGAAACTATTTCACCTCCCCTTGTTACTACTAATATTTATCTTTTGTCAGAACTAAGAGACTTGAATTGTTAAAAAATTTTAGAAATTCTTCTCTTAAATAATAGTTGACTTTTCTTTCCCATATTTTAATTTAATACAAGGGTTACTAATTCTCTTGAAAATGATTTTGATTTGGCTTTTGATTTGGGTTACAGTTTTCTGTTTGGATTTTGAAGATTAGGTCTTTTAATATTTTATCTCTTTACTATTTAAAGTTATATTTTATTCTTCTATTCCCATGAATTTATTCATAATTATGTAATAGAACTGGCCATATGGTCTATAATGAGAGTGACAGAAATGTATTCTTTTGAGATAACACAGAAAATGGTAATGAGAATTTTGACTTTTTCCTAAAAACATTCCTTTAACTTTTTTGTTTTATGTAGGGTTTTGAGGCACCGAGGACATTTTGGCAATGTTTCTGTGACTTGGCAGCTATTTCAGAATGATTCTGCTTTGCAACCTGAACAAGAGTTCTATGAAACTTCTGGAATTGTTAACTTCATGGATGGAGAAGGAGCCAAACCAATAGTTCTCCATGCTTTTCCAGATAAAATTCCTGAATTTAATGAATTTTTCATTCTAAAACTAACAAACATATCAGGTGATATATTTTAAAATTTCCTTTATTTTACCATTAATTAATCATTGTATTTAAAGTTAGATAATTACTATTCTACATCTTTACCTTTTGATTTTAAATGTTAAAATATCAATGTATATGGAGGACAACCACCTCTCCAACTGACTGGAAGAGATCTATATTTGTTCCCATTTCAAAGAAAAGTGACCTGACAGAGTACAGAAATTATCAAATAGTATCATTAATATCACATGCAAGCAAGATTCTACTGAAAATCATCCCCAAATGACTAGAGTAACACATCAATAGAGAACTGCCAGATGTGCAGGTTGGATTTAGAAGAGGCTGTGGTACTAGGGATAATTATATTTAATGTTAGATGGATCTTGGCCAAAAGCAGAGAATATCAGAGGAATGTCTATCTGTGTTTTATTGACCATGCAAAGTCATTTGACTGTGTGGATCACAAAAAATTGTGGCTAACCTTGAGGAAAATGGGAATCCCAGAACACTTGATAGTGCTTATGCAAAACTTATACTTGACCAGGAAACAGTCCTCAGAATAGAGCAAGGAAACACTGCATGGTTCAAAATCAGGAAAGGAGTGCATCAAGGATGCATCCTGTCTCCATACCTTTTCAGTCTGCATGCAGAATGGAGCATCAGGATTGGAGGAAGATTCATCAACAACCTGCATTATGCAGATTAGCATATGCAGCAAGCAACCCTGCTTACTGTAACTGAGGAGAACCTGAAGCACATGCTGCAGAGGCTCAAGGACTGCAGCCTTCAATATGGATTGAAATTCAATGTAAAGAAAACAAAGATTCTCACTGCTAGGCTGATTAGCAGCATTATGATAGACAATGAAGAGATTGAGATTATTAACAATGTTAGTTTTCTTGGTTCCACAGTCAACGCTCTTGGTACCAGCAGCCCAAAGATCAAAAGATGAATTGGATTGAGAAAGTCTGTGGTCTGGGATGTATCCAGAGTACTGAAGAGCAATGATGTCAGTCTGGAGACTAAGGTGCACCTGATCCATGCCATGGTCTTCACAATTATGTGCTATGCATCAGAAACCTGGACAATGACTAGGGATGATATAAGGAGACTTGATGCCTTTGAGCTGTGGTTCTGGAGAAGAGTATTGAATATACCATGGACTGCTAAGAGAACAAACAGATTTGACTTGGAGAGGATGAAACCATTCTTCTGCTTGGAGACAAGGATTCTAAAGCTCTGTCTGACATTTGGGCATGTTTTAAGGAGAGGCCAGTCCTTGGAGAGAGACATCATGCTTGGGAGAGTAGAGGGACAGCAAAGGAGGGAAGACTCTTGATGAGGTGGATTAACTTAGTTACTGTAGTAATGGTGGTAGGTGTGGCAATAAGGAGAGAATAAATTTGGTTCAGTATAGAGCCGGGTTTTAGAGCTGTTATACATAGAGTTGCAAGCGACTCAATGGCACATAACAACAACTTATGTATTAATGTTCATTTCGTGATTGTGGCTTTCTTCAGTTATGTGAAATCAAAACTTGAGTGTAGACTTTTCCTCCATCAAATAGAATGGAGGCTGGTGGCCTAGTGGCAAGAAGCTGCACTACAATCCCAGAGGCACATGGTTCGAGGCCACCAGCTACTCTATGGAAGGATAAGCAATCTTCTCCTGCGCAATTATCTACCTCTGAAATCCCACTGGGAAGCTCAACTGTCAGTCAGTTTCAACTCTACTGTACACAACAACACCACATTAGTGGAAAAGATAAAGTACAGAGTTAAGGTGCCAGCTTGGTCTTTGTACTACAATTGAAACAGTTTTCTCATAAAATCAATTACTGAAATGATAATGATGTGTGTTACTTGATATCTGAGAAAGTGGTAAAAAAGCCACTGTTGTTATTAAGTATTGAGTCATAATAAAACCCCATAGGGTTTTCTTGACTGTATTCTTTCATGACAATCACTAGATAATGGCACTTTTCATCAGTGAGAGTTAGTCAATTGTTTAGTCAGACATCTGTCTTCGAATCATATTTCTTTCCCTTCAGTCTGTGTTGTTTAGTAGGTGTTGAGTTGAGTTTGACTCCTTGTACAATAGAGTCACCTTCATGGTTGTTGGCATGTTTGAGTTCATTTGTTCAGCTGTTGTGCAGTGCCTTCCAATTGAGGGTATCGACTTCCCAGCGCCATGTCAGACAAAACTTTGGTGTGATCCAGAGTGTTTCCACTGTCTAGTTTTCAGAAGTAGGTCACCAGTCCTTTATCTCTAATCTATCTTCATCTGTAACTGAAAGTTTCAACTGTTAGGTATGTCTCCAAATACTTTGACGGCATTTGGAATGCTAATGGCATAGCTCTTAGCAACATGCAAGCTACCACAGGATGACATGCAGATGAAAGATAGGTGATGACTTTTTACCTTACAGTAGAGTATAATTCACATTCTAATTTCTTATTTGTTATACATTCCTTTATTGCAGGTGGGTCGCCCGGTCCAGGGGGCCAACTAGCGGAAACCAACCTCCAAGTGACAGTAATGATTCCGTTCAATGATGACCCCTTTGGAGTCTTCATCTTGGATCCAGAATGTTTAGAGAGAGAAGTAGCAGAAGATGTCCTCTCAGAAGATGATATGTCTTATATTACCAACTTCATTATTTTGAGGCAACAAGGTGTCTTTGGTGATGTGCGAATAGGCTGGGAAATACTGTCCAGTGACTTTATTGCTGGGTTACCCCCAATGATAGACTTTTTACTGGTTGGAATTTTCCCCAGCAGTGTACATCTACAACCTCACATGCGACGCCACTATAGCGGAACAGATGCTTTATACTTCAGCGGACTAGAGGGTGCATTTGGGACTGTTAATCCAAAATACCATCCCTCCAGGAACAACACAATTGCCAGCTTTACATTTTCAGCCTGGGTGATGCCTAATGCCAATACAAATGGGTTTGTTATAGCAAAGGATGATGGCAATGGTAGCATCTACTATGGGGTAAAAATTCAAACAAATGAATCCCATGTGACACTTTCTCTTCATTACAAAACATTGGGTTCTAATGTTACATATATTGCCAAGACGACAGCCATGAAATACTTAGAAGAAAATGTTTGGCTTCATCTTCTGATTATCTTAGATGATGGCATACTTGAATTCTACCTTGATGGAAATGCCATGCCCCGAGGAATTAAGAGTTTGAAAGGAGAAGCCATTATTGATGGTGAGTAACTTCTTCAAAGCAAAGGCATGGCGTGGAATTTTTTTTTAAATCATTGCCAGGAGGGGACAGTCCTTGGAGAAACACATTATGTTTGGAAGTGTGGACAGAGAGCACTAGGGAGGAAGACTCAGGACAAGATGGATTGACACATTAACTGAAATAATTTGTAGATGTATCAGATGCAGTGAGACTGATTCCAGGTAGGGCAGGCTTCAGTGTTGCTGTAAGGCTGAGTCGCAGGCACCTTGACAGCACGTAACAACAAGTTTTGAAAGTTTCTTAGTATGTATTATTTTACTTTCTTAAAATAAAATTAGATGTTTGCTAAGACTGTGCCAAACTTTGTGCTGAGTATTTCAGACGTGAGTCAGGCTAAACCCCTAAGAACCTAGAATAAATATTGGAGAGAGCAAAATAAATAGATCACTTCAGTATATTGTGGGAAGGAAGAAAAGATATACAGAGGAGGAACATTTATCCCTCTGAAATATGAGAAATAAGTTTCATACTGGTTTCAGAGAATTAGTAATAGGTTTGGTAATAAGGATTGCAATTTTACAGATTTGTATAATGTAAGTCATTAGTATGGTTTTATAAGACATTTCCTCTACATTATGTAATTTTGACTTTATAAAATCTAACGTATTAAATATTTCATAACTATAGCTGGACAATGACTAGAGATAATAGAAGGAGAATTGATGCCTTTGAGCTGTGGTGTTGGAGAAGAGTATTGAATATACCACAGACTACTAAGAAAATGAACAGGTTCACCCTAGAGAGGGTTAAACCAGGCTACTCCTTGGAGGCAAGGATTCTGAAGCTTCATTTGACATTCTTTGAACATGTTGCAAGGAGGGACCAATTCCTGGAAAGGGACATCATGCTTTGGAGGGACAGCGCAGGAGAGGAAGACCCTTAATGAGGTGGATTGATTCAGTGACTGGGGTAATAGGGTGGGTGTATCAGATACAGTGAGATTGGCACAGGAGAGGACAGGGTTTAAGGCTGTTGTACAGAGGCTCTCTATGAGTCACAGGCAACTTGATGGCGTGTAACAATAACAACATAGTATTCAGAATCAGTAAATAAGTTAGGTTGTACCACATAGTCAAGTAATAGACTTGAAAATGAATCTTTGACTCTCATGTTAGTATTTATTTAATTGTATCATAAAAGCAAAGCTAAAGGAGGTAGGGTGATTTATCTCCTTTTGTCTGTACATTGTCTCCATGCTGATGAGATGTGCGCATGAGATTTCTGAAAATCAGCGGAAACAACATTTCATTGACATATAATGTAGTAGGAAAAGACTAATAGGATTTTCCACTCAATTTCAAGTTTAAAAGAAAGAATAGTTTTACTTTGCTAGCAGGCAGGTATTCAGTCTACATTTACTAAACTGGGTAGATGAGAAATAGGCATAATAATATACAAGTTACTTTGACTTTCCTTAACATGATAACAGTTTCTTAATAGGGCAAAAACTTATATTGAGTTCTGACTCAACGGCAATGATTGTGTGGAATATATATGTATATATTGTTTTTATTGTTGTGTGCCATCAAGTCTGAAGTGACTCTTAACTAACAGAGCAGCTAGTAGATTCTTTAGCATTGCTGCTAGCTTTTTATCAATAGGCCACCAAAGCTCTCTGATATATTGTTGTCATTAAGTGCTGTCAAGTTGAGTATGACTCATAATGATCTTATGAACAAAAGATCTAAACCCTTTTCTATCCTCACACGCCCTGACATAGAGGAGCCCATTGTGGCAGTAACCATGCCAATTTACCTGGTTGAAGGTATTTGTCTCCTTTGCCAACCCTCCACCCTTCTTAGCATCCTGTCCTTCTCCAAGTAGCATGCCCAAAGTATGTGAGACAAAGCTTCATCATTCTTGCCTTCAAAGAGCACTCTGGCGGCACCCTCTCCAAGACATATCTGTTTGTTCTTTTGGCTGTGCATGGGATATTCAGTACTCTTCTCAAACAGTACAGCTCAAAGGCATCAATTCTTCTGTCAGCCCTACTCACTGTCCAGCTCTCAGATGCATAGCAAGTGAAAGCAAAGACTATGGCCTGAATCAGACATACCTTAGTTTTAAAACTGACATAATTGCTTCTCAATAATTTGGAGAGGTCCCTAACTGAAGATTTTCCCAGTGCAATGCATCTTCTTATTTCCTGACAGTTGGTACCTAGGGTATTAATTGTGGAGCGAAGCAAGATCAAGCTGTTGAGAGTTTCAGTCTCCTTTCCATCCATCATGATACTGCACATCAGTCCAGTAGTAAGACTCTTTGTTTTCTTGGCGTTGAGATGTAATCTATACTGAAGGCTGCATTTCTTGATCTTCTGAAACAAGTGCTTCAAGTCATCCTCACTTTATATATATTATTGTATATAAATTTCATAAGTAAATTACTTATGATTTCTATCATAAGTAATTGATAAAAATATCACTTGATAAAGAAATATCAATTATATATTTCAATTGATAAAGAAATTACATATTTCAGTAGATAAATAAATAGGTAAAGTTATCTGACATAAATAGCATATGAATTACTGGAGAGAGAAATAAAGAAATAAGAATTGGTGATTCTTATTAAAATAGTTGTTTGTTAAGATATAATAACATAGTTGGTCTGCATGTTGTTACAAAAAAAGTCCCTAAACTTTGCATATAAAACTGGTTTTGGCAAGTAGTATTTGTAATCCTCCGGTTGTTTGAATAAAGAGATATAATTGACCCACAGAAATTGTCCTGCACAGACATATTTCTGCTGAATTGTCTCAAGGCTTCAAATCCACCACTGGCTGCAAGGGAAAAAGATAGCCAGTCTCCTCTCATGAAATTTACAACTTCAGATAACCACTGGGGCTAGCTCTGAGTTGGCATCATCTTAAGAACAGTGAAGTTTGCTTGTTTGTTGGTTTATTTTTTCTATTTAACTCATGCTGAAGTTCTCATAGTTCAAGTCTTGATTGATATTCATAAAGAATGAAGTTGTAAAATTGAGGTTATACATAATAATTTTATTTTTATGTATAAAAGACATTTAGAAAATGTTCTGTGATAAATTATTATCTAAATGTACATATAGATGTCAACACCTATATGTACTTATACACATATATATATTTATGCTTATCTATCCAAAATTACAAGGATGCGAATGTTAAGATACTATCCATACATGTATAAGGAAGACCTGTTAACATGACTATCATTCAAATATAGATACCAACAATGAAAGCCAAAGAGGAGGAAAGTAAGTATTTTTATCAACATTTCCAGTCCAAAATTTAGCATGCAATATAGATACGTTAATAATAACTTGATTAAGAAATAATAGAGGTGACATCACAACAGAACCAGATGAAATTAAGTTGATAATAACTGAATTCTATTAAAAATTATACTCTGATATATTTGAAAACCTATAGGAAGTGAACAAGTTTCTTACAACTCATGCACCAGAATGGCAAGGACAATACCATTTACAGTAGCCAACCACAAAGTGAGATACTGAGGAATAAACCTAACTGGAGACACAGAAGACCTAGACCAAGAAAACAGCAGAACATTTTCTGCGAGACAAAATAAAAGACCTAAATAAATGGAAAAATGTGCCCTGTTCATGGATAGGAAAATTCAGTATTGTGAAAATGACAATTCTACCAAAAGCAATCTACATGACTAATGCCATTCCACTACAGATATCAAATTCCCTTTTCAAGAAGATCAAAAGGAAAAAGTGTTAAGTTTGGAGAGGAAAGAGACCGAAAATAAGCAAAATACTCCTGACAAACAAAAATGAAGTGGGAGGCATAGCACTCCCTGACCTCAAAACTTACTACACAGCGGCAGTAACCAAAACAGCATTGTACTGGTACAATTGCAGACACATAGATCAATGAAACATAACTGAGAACCCAGAAATGAACCTAGCTACCTTTGGTCAACTTGTTATTCGACAAGGAAATAAAACTTGTCAAATGGTGAAATGACAACCTCTTCAACAAATGGTGCTGACAAAACTGGACTTCAACCTGCAGAAACCTGAAACAGGATCCAAGTCTCACACCAGACACAAAAATCAACTCAAGGTGGATGAGAGATGTGGGAGTAAAGCTCAAAACAATAAAGTTCATCAGAGAGAAACTCTGAACAGTCTTGGATGGCCTAGTCTCTGGTATAAAGAGACTACAAAATACAGCCAGAAATGCATAATCTGGAGAGGATAAAATTGATTAATGGGACCTTTTAAAGATTAAATCATTGTCACATCAAAAACATTTTCAAGCAGAGTAAAAAGAAAACATACTACTGATCAGTTAAATGATCCAGGAAGTATTAAAAGAAGATGGAAAGAATTTACTGAGTCACTGTGTCAAAAGGAATTGGAAGACATAGAAGAATTTCATGAAACAACATATGAGCAAGAACCTATGGTGATGAAAGAAGTTCAGGCTGCTTTGAAGGAAATGGCAGAAAATAAGGCTCCAGGAATAGATGGTATGCAAATTGACATATTTCAGTTAACAGATGCTTCCCTGGATGTGCTCACCAAGTTGTGCCAAGAAATCTGGAGAACAACCACTTGGCCAACTGACTGGAAGAGATCGATATTTGTTCCTATCCCAAAGAAAGGTGACCCAACAGAATGTGGAAACTACAGAACAATCTCACTGATTTCACATGCAAGCAAGATTTTACTGAAGATTATCCAAAAACGACGGGAACAGCACATCAGCAGAGAACTACCAGAAGTCCAGGCTGGGTTTAGAAGGGGTCGTGGTACTAGGGATATTGTAGCTGATGTTAGATGGATCTTGGCTGAAAGCAGGGAATACCAGAGGAATGTCTATCTGTGTTTCATTGATTATGCAAAGGCATTTGTGTAGATCATAACAAACTATGACTGACTCTGAGAAGAATGGGAGTCCCAGAACACTTGATTGTTCTAATGCGAAACCTATACTTGGACCAGGAGGCAGTCGTCAGAACAGAGCAAGGGAACACTGCATGGTTCAAAATTGGGAAGGGCGTACGCCAGGGATGCATCCTATCTCCATACCTTTTCAACCAATATGCAGAACAGATTATCCGGGAGGTGTGGCTCTATGAGGAGAAATGTGGGGTCAAGATTGGTGGAGGATTTATCAACAATCTGCGTTATGCGGATGACACAACTCTGCTTGCTGAAACTGAGGAGGACCTGAAGCACCTGCTGCAGAGTGTCAAGGACTGCAGCCTCCAATATGGATTGAGGCTCAATGTCAAGAAGACCAAGATTCTCGCCACTGGACCAATTGGCAGCATCAGGATGGATGGTGAAGAGATTGAGATTGTACACAGCTTTAGTTTTCTTGGATCCACAGTCAACAGTCTTGGCACCAGCAGCCAAGAAATTAAAAGGCGCATTGCCATGGGAAAGGCTGCTGTTAGGGACCTCTCCAAAGTACTGAAGAGCATTGGTGTCTCTCTGGAGACTAAGGTGAGTCTGATACAGGCCATGGTCTTCGCAATCACTTGTTATGCATCAGAGAGTTGGACAATGACCAAGGAGGATAGAAGGAGAATTGATGCCTTTGAGCTGTGGTGCTGGAGAAGAGTATTGAGAATACCATGGACTGCTAGGAAAACAAACAGATTTGTCCTGGAAAGGTTTAAACTGGGTGGCTCCTTGGAGGCAAGGATTCTGAGGCTTTGTCTGACATACTTTGGACATGTTGTGAGGAGAGACCGGTCCTTCAGAAGGACATCATGCTTGGGAGGGTGGAGGGACAGCACAGGAGAGGAAGGCCCTCTGTGAGGTGGATTGATTCAGTGACTGGGATAATTGGGACAGGAGTGTCAGAGACAGTGCAATTGGCACAGGACAGAGCAAAGTTTAGGGCTGTTGTTCATAGGGTCGCTATGAGTCGCAAGGGACTCGACGGCACATAACAACAACAACAACTACTACTACTGATCAGGAGAAAAATGTTTGACAATACCATTTCAGACAAAGATCAGAAGTATGCAGAATCCTACAGGGCCTCGAGAAGAAAAAGACGGATAACACAATTACAAAATGGTCAAAAGACATGGTAAGAATTTTCAGATAGGAAGTTATTTGGATGGCTAACAGACACATGAAGAAATGCTCAAAATTACTGGCAACAAGAGAGATGCAAATCAAAACCACAGTGCTCCCCAGTAGCAGTGGCAAAGTTTAACATGGCAGCAAGTAATGAATATTGGGAAGGATGTGGTGAGATAGGAACTCTTATACATTGTGAGTAGGGTTGTAAAATGGTCCAAGTACTCTGGAAGGCAGTTTGGCCTTTTGTCCTGAAAGTTGAGCATAGAAATTCCATATGACCAAGCTATTTCATTGCTTGGAATATACCCTGAGAAAATGAGAACTGAGGCACAAATGGGGACTTATCTTCCAATGTTCATAGCACTGCTATTCACCAGAGTAAGAACATGAAAACAGCCCAGATATCCAAACACTATTAAATGGATTGAGAAATTATGGTATATTCACACACTGGAATACTATGCAGCATGAAGGAGCAAGGATTTTGTAAATCACTACATAACTTGGGAGAGACTGGAGAGTTATGCTAAGTGAACTCTGTCCCATAAGGACAATTATTGTATAAGACCATTATTGTAGATAATGCATGAAGATACAAAGGGAAGGTGGGAGGAGTAGAGGGGTGAGGATGGATGGAGGGGGGTGATTAATCATAGAGTTGCACAGTTTGATGGGTAGAGGGAGTGATAGGTAAAGGAAATGGGAAAGATCAGGTGTGAAAAACAATGTATATGAATTTTATAAGTAAACCTTTATAAAATAAAATTTTATTTAAATAAAAAATGCATTCATATTTATTGGTCAATGGAATTAAAAGTTTAGAAACAATAAGGAAGGAAAGGCAATTGGAAAGTATGGGCTTGATTACAGAAATGATACCGGAGAGCTAATAATTAGATTTTATACATTGATTGATTTATTCATAGCAAATACCTTTTTAAAAGAAACTCAAACATTGTCTTTACACGTAGACTTTACCTGATAGACTTCAAAGCAATCAGAGTCACTACATTTGTGGAAAGAATCATTGGAAGAGTTCAATATCAACACTCAGAAACAGACCAAGTCATAACTGTAGAATAGACCATCAATTACTCATGTGCCAGTTCAAATTATCACTGAGCCAATAGACAACATCATGATGAATGGAGAAAGGATTGAACCTATCAATAATTACATCTTATTGGATCCACAATCAACACTGTTGGCATCAGCAGTCAGTAGATCAGGAGACATATTGCACTGGGCAAGTCTACTGTACAGGAGCAATGTTGTGAGTTTAAAGACTAAGGTGGGTGCGATTTAGGCCAGGGTCTTTTCAGTCACTTACTGTTCATCTGTCTGAGAGCTGGACAATGCATAAGGATTGCAGAATTAGATTTGATACCTTTTAACTCTGGTGGTGGAGAAGAGTACTGCCAGAAAAGTGAACAGATATGTCATGATAAGAGTGTGATTAGAGTGCTCCTTGGAGGCAAGGATGGAAAAGCTGCATCTCCCATACTTTGGACATGTTGGTAGTAAAGGCTATATGTTGGGAAAGGATATCATCCTTGAAAAGGTCAGTGAAAAAAAGAGGACCCCCCCAATGAGATGAATTGACACAATAATTGCACTAATGGGCTCATGATGAGAATGGCAAAACATTGTATGTGATTTAGGTTTATTTTTCACATAGTTGTTATGAGTCATACTCAACTTGATGGCACCCAACAACAAAAATATGTGTATGTGATTATGTATGTGTTTATTTTTATGTCTAGATATATGAGATGTTGGATTTTTTAAATTTACTAGTAAGGAAGTAATTAAAATTGATTATATTAATGATATAATTAATATATTGTAATTATAGTTTGAGTCCTTGAATTTAAAATATTGTAATGTCATTAGTTGCTTCACTTACTCATTTTTTTTGTCGTAACAGAAGATAGCATTTATTTTACCAAGTTATTAGAAAGTTTTGCTTATTCAATAATGTGTTCTCATAACATTATTTTGTGTTTTAATTCACATTTAGAATAGGAGACTTGTAGTAGATACTAGTTTTATTTTTCTGTGTGTATTTTTTTATACTAGTTTATTTACAAAATTCGAATACATTGATTTTGAGAACAGATTCTTCCAATTTCCCTCACCCCTCACTCATTAAATTGTACAACTCCATGATTTAATTCCCCCCCCCCCCCACCGCCGCACCTGCACATCCTCATTAGCTTTATATCTGTCTCTTTTCAGGGCCTGGGATTCTGAGAATCGGGGCAGGAGTGAATGGCGATGACAGGTTTACAGGTTTGATGCAGGATGTGAGATCCTATGAGCGAAAACTGACCCTTGAAGAAATTTATGAACTTCATGCTGTGCCTGCAAAAAGTGATTTACATCCCATTTCTGGATATATGGAGTTCAGACAAGGAGAAACTAACAAATCATTCATTGTTTCTGCTAAAGATGACAATGAAGAAGAAGGGGAAGAATTATTCATTCTTAAACTGGTCTCTGTATATGGAGGAGCTCGAATTTCTGAAGAAAATACTACAGCAAGATTACTAATACAAAAAAGTGACAATGCCAATGGCTTGTTTGGTTTCACAGGAACTTGTATACCAGAGGTAAGGAGAATTTTGAGAACTAGAATATATTGTAAATGGGTTTTTTGAGTATGAACTCTGTTTAATTTGTTGAACTGGCTTATCTACTTTAAGCCCTAAATTGTGCGAAAACATTGGTTGATAATATGATAATTGCTGCTCTTTGTAGCTCAAATTAGAAGTTTAATGAACTGCTAGAATTAATGACAGTTTAGAAGGTTAAACTAGCATTTAGGTCTAAAGTTAAGGCACTTCAGGAAACCCGTTCTTACACATCTTTAATATTTCTGCCACTGTTTTTTTACCAATAAATAGGTTTTTATGAAGTTTATATGAATAATTGTAGTAGAAAATTTTAAAAAGTAACAGTTTGTGGATTGTTGGGGTTTTTTTTCAAAGTTTTGTTTTAAAGTCCTAAAAACATTCCAGTGTGTTGGCTGTGTCTTTGTCAACAACCTTCTTGGCTAGCTTAATTCATTAGGCTATTTAACTTCCTTATCAGTTCTGTCCAAGTTTTTAATGATTCGTAATCATCTCAGTTTCTTGTTCAGTAACGTGAGATCTCAGGAAACTACTTCACAGGTGTTATGTGTGACAACAGTGGCTCAATGTCTATGAAAGGATGCCAAAACCAAGACAGGCTTTATCTTGGCAAGCTGATTCTTATGGATATGTTGTTGTTAAGTGCCATTGAGTATGACTCGTAGAGACCCTCTAATACATTTAGAAGGGTATATATATATGAATTTAAAAGGGTGCATAGGTAAATCTTGGGAAAATATCTACATCATTGACTTCATTGTAGCTCAAGGTATAGGAACTGACTCTCTAGAGTGTTTTATTTCTTCTTTTAATTATTTGGTTTGGTGGTAACTATAAGTTATTTTGAAGTGTTAGTGTCTTTTACATCTGAAATAGAGTAGCCCATGCTCATTCAGTCACTCACTCACTGCTCTTGAGTTGAACTGATCCATAGCTGGCCCTCCATGGAGATCCTGAGATTGTAAATCGCCTGTGAGGAGATTATCCTTGTTTCTCCCGGTAGCCTCTGGTGGCTTAGAATCACAAGAGAAGCACAGCCTTTAGATTAGCAGTGCAACTTCCTAGGCTCCAGAGCTTCACATTTAAGTCATTCAAAACTGAGCTCCAAAGGTATTTCCTCAGTGGAAATGTAACATTATAGTTTTTCTCTATACTAGTAAATCTTCATTCCTTCATACAACATAGTCTTCTTTTTTTGTTATATAGCTCGATCTCTAAAATCCTTTGGTTGTATATAAGTCTTAATTATTTACTATCTTTCCCCTCTCCATTGTAAAAATGAAGAAACTCAGTAATTAAGACCTATTGTTCATTATTTTATGTTTAATATCTAGAATTGAGCAATGTAGGTATTCTGTAAATATTTATTGAATTTTTATGATGATTATATTTCAGTGTTAAAATATGTGGAAGAGGCTCATAGCAGTTCCAATATCAGTAACATTTTCATTATCTGTGTAAACAGACAACATGATGGGGTGGGGGCAGAGATGCATAACAAAATAAAAAATTACCAAAAAATGAGGAATAACCTATAAATATTTCTCTGGATTTTGGATGATAGAAAAATTTTCAAAGCTCATCTTTTCCCCACAGATTCAATCGATAATTTGTGGTTTGTGTCATTTTCACTCTACTGATATTTGCATCATTTTATGTCTTTTGTTCACTTGAGCAAGATCAGTCAAATTTTTATTCCACCTTATGACTCAGGGTGAAGTCTCTCTCAGGGAGGAGTGATAGGAAATGGCAAAGGACACACTGACAAAGAAGATTAATCAGAACTGGCTTTGACAAGCACTGTGGCATTTGGACAAGAACAAACTGGGAGGAGGGTAGAGAGAATAGTGCAACAATGAATGAATGGAAACCCAAAGTCTCTGTAAATGTTCATTAAAATTAATAAAATTTAATTAAAAAAAGTTATTCCAGAAGAGGGAACTTCCCTGTGTAGGCCACATTTCTCTATTAGTTGGACTAACTGAAATGAAAAAGAAAAGGAAAAGCTGATTGGTTAGTCTCCAAACACACATAGGAGAGAAATAGAATGTAATTATATTGAATATTTACATGGTTGGTGCAGAAAAAGTGGTTTTGAATCTAAAAGATTAAACATTTGGATTTGATGTGAAGAAGATGAAAGGATTTTAATTTCTGAAAATAATACAAACTCATTGCCTTTGAGTCAATTCTGACTCAGAGTGACTCCGTAGTAGAGAAAATAATTGCTCATAGGATTTTTAAGGGTATAACTTTTTATGTAAACAGATTACTATGTCTTTCTCCAAAAAAGTATCTGATGAGTTTGATTCATCTCACTTTGGGTTAGCAGCTAAGCATTTTTACCATAGTAACATCAACATGCTCTTGTTAGGAAGGTTGTTCTTGTTATATAACATCAAGTTGGAACTGAGTCATAACTGGCTTTCCAGTGGGTTTTCAAAGGTAGTCAAGCACACAGGAAAAGACTGACCATCTTTTTCTTGTGGAGCTGCTGGTGGATTCAAACTGCATACCTTTAATTTAGCAGCTCAGTTCCTTACCACTAAGCGACGAGAGCTCCCTTTGTAAAGGATAGGTGTTGTTATTATTATTTTTAGGTTCTGTTACATCAAGTAAGACTCATAGTGACCCTATAAACAACAGATCTGGACGCTGTCCTATCCTGTGCTATTCTCATCATATCTGATACACTTGAGCCAGCTATTTCATTGAGGGTCTCCCTTTGCTTTGATGAGCCTCCATCTTTCCAAGGATTATCCTCTCCTACCAATATGCCCAAAGTATGAGAAATGAAACTTGACCATCTGTGACACCAAGGAGCACTTCGATGCATTTTTCTAAGACATGTCTGTTTGTTCTTTTGACATTTTATGAGATATTCAGTAGTTTTTCAACATCACAACTCAATGGCATAATTTTGTTTCAATCATCCTTATTTACTGCCTAGATCTCAGATATGCAGCAAGTGATTGAAACGACCATTGCTTAAATCAAGCACACCTTAGTCTTTCAGTTGGCCTCCTTACTCTTTGGAAAGTTCCCTGATAGCTGACTTGACCAATGCAGTACATCTCCTGATCTCATGACTTCTGGTACCAAAGATGTTGATTGTTGATTCAAGAAAGATGAAGCCATAGACAACTTCAATTCTTTCTCCATCTATCATGATATTGTCTCTTGGCCCAGTGGTTAGCACCTCTATTTTGTTGATGTTGAGATGTACTCCATACCAAAGGCTATGTGTGGTCCTTCATCTTCTGCAGCAAGCCCTTCAAGTCCTTGTCACTTTCAGCATTCAAGGTTGTTTCATTTGCATAATGCATATTATTGATGAGTTGTCCTCTGATCCTGATGCCACATTCCTCTTCATGAAGTCCGGTGTAATCAATTATTTGCTCAACATACAGACTGAATAGATGTGGAGAAAGAATACAGCCCTGACACATATCCTTCCTGATTTTAAGCTGTGGAGTGTTCCCTTGTTCTGTTCACACAACATCATTTTGATTTAGGGATAGATTTAATGTAAAAATAATTAAGTGTTCTAGGATTCCTATTTTTCTTCTTAATGTTAGCCACAGTATATTATGATCCACACTGTCAAATACCTTTTCATAGTCAATGAAACACATATAGTTATTATTTTGATACTGACGAATTACAAAATGAAAGGCACAAATAATACACTTTTGCTTCATTACCAAAAATACAATAGTTAAGCTTCAAATACTGTTCAGTTTTTGTATTGTGAGCTGAATCAGTTTCTCTTTTAATGCAAAAACATTTTTATTTGAATAAATGATAACTTGTTTATTCAGACTTGGGCATTTGATGGTAATGTTCTTGAAAATTAAAAATATGGGACATATGCTGAGTGAAGTATCTCAGTCACAAAAGGACAAATACTACATGGTGCCACTGTTGTAAAGCAGGATTGACCTCGGGATTGGGAGGAGATTGAGAAGGATGGGTTCAATAATGTATGCTGCATTGAAACAGATGAGGAAGAAAACTGTTTAAGATGGAAATCCACAATCTCTGTAAATGTCCATTGAAATTAAAAATAATTTTAAAAAAGAAGGAAAATTATTAGGTATTTTTGTCATGACAGGAGTCCAGAGCGAAGGCTGTATAGTGGAGTGGAACTAGGGGGAGGGATTGTAAAACAATGAAAGAATTTTTCCTTTACTTTTCCAGGAGGGTAGTGTACTAGGGGAGATGGTTGGGAGGGGGAAAAATGCAACAATGAATGAGTGGAAATCCAAAGCCTCTGTAAATTTTCATTGAAATTAATAAAAAATTAAAAAAATATGGGACAGTGATTTCAAAGTAAACAGCTGACAGTGCTTTTGCTGGTGATAAAAGTGTGAGCTTTCCAGTGAACATTTGAATTTTGGAACACTTGCATTTGCCAAAGTAAACTTGACTTCTTTCCAGTTATTCAATTTATTTCCGTTATGTTCTTTCAATGACATTCAAAAAAATTTTAATCACTTCAAAATATCTGGGAACATTACTTTTAGGTACTGTCAAGGTAGATCTGAGACATTACAACATAAACCAAAATCATTGCCTACTCCTGCACTGTCCTAAAAAAATTGTTATGTTTGAGCTCATTGTGTCATTATATGTTGTTGAAGGTCTTCCTCTTTTTTGACAATTCTTTACCAAGCATGATGTCTCCCTCCAGGGGCTGTTCCTTCTGATAATATGTTCAAAGTACATGAGGCCAAGTCTTGCCACCTTCAATTCTATGGCTTATTCTGACTCTCCATCTCCCAGGATTGGTTGTTTAGTTCTTCTGGTAGACTTTAGTATATTCTGTATTCTTTTCTAAGGCCAAAATTAAAATATATAAATTCTTCTTTAGTTTTCATTATTCACTGTCCAGATTTTACATAAATGTGACGAGATTAAAAATATGATTTGCAACAGATAAACTTTAGCCCTTAAAGGAAGTCTTGAAGGTATTAAAA